CTCTGTTCTTTAGTTACCTTGTCTGCAAAATAAGAATTACAGATCTTTAACTTAGATGGTAGCTTTGAGAGTTCATTTTAGTTAATACATATTAAGACACTGAGAACTAAATGCTTAGTAAGCCTATGCCATTGCATTTTAAAATTGCGTACAGATTTCATGGAAAATTAATGATGTGTGATACCTGGTAGATTGTCCTACAAATATTACAAAGGTATATGTTAAAAAAAACTCTACTTGCATTAAAAAAATTCCTGGATAAATAGTTATAAGGTCTAAAAAATACTTTTGAATGATCTACATTTGAAATAAATTGGTGAAACAGAGGGCAGTGTGTACATAGTTTCATAGTTCTATATGTGGAGCGTACGTAAACTATTTGTGTATTTTGGTCAGTAATTATTTAGGGGAATAGTAGAGGGTATACACATCACTTATGGTACAGGATTTTTGTTTTAATTTATTTAACTGGTTAAACAGTTGCCTTTTTCAGATACATTTAGAGATGAGAAGATATTTTTATTTTTTTGACATATAAGGGCTCTTACATGAAACCACTTTTTTCTTGTATAATGTGTGTTTTGTTCTTACATAGACACTATATCTATTAAATGTGTTCTGGGAAAGCATTGCCTCTTTTCTGTTATATTGGAAAAATATAATAGTGCACATGTGTTACTCTAATAATTCCATGGCATATTGCTCTACACTAAGTAGAAATCCTATGGTAATAGTTCTTCAGAGGTAATTTAGTGATTGAAATTATTTGTTGATTCATTTGTGATACATAAATATTATTGTAGAGGTTGAGATTTTCAGATTTGGCTTTTGAGCATTCGTTTTGCAGTGATAGTTGAGTAGATATATTGATTTATCTTGAGTTGATATAAAATCTTGCATAAATTTACCTTAAAAATTCCTAAGATTAATGCCTATCCTCAATGATATCTTCATTAATTTTTGTGTACATGCCCAGAAACACTTAAAAATAGCATAGCAAAACTCATAATATTTATCTGTACCATTTTTAAAGGTGTAGTTCACTTAAGTACGTTCATACTGTGATGAAAGTTTTTTCTTTTAATTCTGAAGCTCTGTAGAAATTTATTAACAACTCCCCATACCCATCTCCTTCAGCCCTGCTCATCACTGTTTTACTTTCTCTTTTTATGAATTTTTCAAGTTTTTTCAAGTTTAGATATGCCATTTAAATGGCATCATATTGTTGTGATTATTTTATTTAGCATAATGTCTTCAAGATTCACCTGTTTTAGCATGATATTAATTAATTAATTAATTAATTAATTATTTTTGTCTCTGAGACAGGATTTTGCTATGTGGGTCAGGCTGGCCTTGGGCTTACTTTGTAGCCAGGCTGTTCTTGAACTTGCAGTGATCCTCCCGCTTCGGCTGCCTGAGTGCTGAGATTACAGGAATGCGCCACCATATCTGGCTGCATGTGATATTATGTGGAAACTAAAAAATATCCTAGTTGATGTATATAACATGTTTCATTTATCTGCCTTGCCTTTGATGAACACTTGGGCTGCTTTTACCTTTTGGATGTTATGAATGATGCCTCTCTGACCTATATAAATGCCTCTTTAGGACCCTAATATTAATTCTTCTGCATATATTTCCAGTAATGATATTCCAGGATCATATGACAGCTCCTTTTCTCTGCTTTTCCATCTCTCCTTTTTTCTTTCCCTCCCTTCCCTTTCTTCCTTTTCCTTCCCCTTTTCTATTCCTTTTTACTTTCCTCTTTCCCTCTCTTCTCTTTCTCCCTCTTTTGTTTGGTATTATTGTTTCTGACACAGTGTGTTGCTCAGGTTGTTCTTGAACTTGTGAGCTCTATCATTTCTCCTGCTTCAGCTTCCCAAGTAGCTGGGGCTATAGGGATATGCCATCATGATGGATTATTTTTAATTTTTTGAGGAATAAGTGGAACTTATTTTAGTACTAATGCTATCCTCTTTAGCACTAATACTCTTAATACTTACGATTGGTCTCTTTAGCATAGCTTTTCAGAAATCTGAGTTATATATTTGACATCTAGTCTCTTCAAAGATAAATAGATATTTTATGTCTGCCTTCTCATAGAGCAGTGCTGCAACTACATTTCAGCCTTTGGCACCTCCATACTGGTTTCCATAGAGGCAGACTATTTTAGTTTGTCACTAACAGTGAAAAAGTGTTGTTTTTCAGTACTAAAGTAGCTCCCCCCCCCTTTTTTTATTTAAGGAGAAAAAGGAAAAAAAAACCCAAAAAGGATACAAGTAATATTAAATTTAAAAAATAAACAGTAAGAAATCACTAGTTAATAGATTACATATTCTCATCTTAGAAATAGTTGTTCAAGTTACAAAATTGAAGCACATAAAGTGGACTTTCAAACAGTGAGAGTGCAAACAGTTTTGTTCAGTGATCTAAAAAAAAAAACTCAGTAATTTGGTTATCTATCTTATACACTTAAACATATATGCAGTTATAACCTTTAGAGCACTTTCTTTTCTTTTTTTTTGTAGAATGACAATTACACATTTTGGGTTTTATTAATCCTACAGTTCTTACTACTTTTTTTGAAGAGAGTAAAACCAAATGCGACCTATCAGAACAGAGTCAGTCAAATCAAAAGGATGGACATAATAGATAATGTAAAAACAAAATACAAGGTGATCAACAATGGTTACCATACTGCCTCTTGCTATTTTAAGAAGAATTGGCAGTTATAATAAAATTGAACTAAATAGTAAAGAATAAAACCAAAGCATTGGAGACATTACAGGATTTTAAAAGAAAATAATAGTCAATCGGAATGGGTGTCATAATGAATCTTATTGTCTTCACAGTTATGCCTATACTTTCGATCTTGGTACTATCAAGAAAAGCAGAATAGAGGAAAATCAGTCAAAACAAGATGGTGAGGGCAATACAGGATTTGAAATCAAGTTAATAGGAAATCAAAGTAGGTTACTATAATGTATCCTGCTATTTTTAATTTATTTTCCCTTAATTAAAAAAATAAAAAGAAAAGTAAATAATTAAAAAGGGGGGGGGGATTGAGATAAAAGAGGGCATAACAACAAAACAGCGCAGGTCAAATCATAACCATTTGAGCAAACCAGTATTTCATCACAAGATATCCTGACATAAAAATAGTTACCATAGTGTCTCTTTCCTTGAAATCTTTGAGTATACCTTCTTATACTGTAGTGCCAAACATATCACGACACTATAAAACCATTCAAGAGAATGACATTATTACAGGGTATTTAGAACCAATTGACAGAAAATGAACAATGGTTTCTATATAAACTTGTCTATAAAAGTTTTTGCTTATATTATCATATATAATAAAATCCGATAAGATACAACCTTTTAAGACCAATGGAGAATGAAGAATACACGTTTGATGGGACTTCAAAACAAGATGATTCTAAATCAGCACTAGCTATTATGATGTCTTGTTTTCTCCAAAATTGCTGTTCCTACCTTCTGATCTTCTCCGCCTCATTTCTGTTGAGCTCTTTTTCTGTCATTTGTTGTCAGTTTGTCCTCTTCATTTCGCTTTCTGCTCCATTCATTGTGGCCGCTCTGCCACTATTTCTGGAATCTTGGTATTTTCTTTTTTTAGACTATCCTGCAGTATTCTCTGTAGAGTTGAATTAGTGGTTGCAAATTCCCCTAGTTCCTCTTTATCCTGGAAACACTTTGTTTTTCCATCAATTTCTAGGGACAGTTGTGCAGGATATATCAATCTTGGCTGGAGGTTATTGTCTTTCAATGCTTGAATTATTTCCCCCCACGCTCTTCGTGATTTGATGGTTTGTGCAGAGAAATCTGCTGTAATTCTGATGGGTGTTCCCTTGTAAATGATCTGTTTCTTGTCTCTGATGGCTTTTAATATTCTGTTCTTATATTGGATTTCTGGAATTTTGATTATTATATGCCTGGGTGTAGCTTTGTTTGGGTTGTAGGTGGCTGGGGTCCTGTATGCCTCATATATCTGAGTATCTTTAACATTTGCCAAATTAGGGAAATTCTTCTGGATTATTTCTGTAAATAGCTTTTGTAGTCCATTTATTTGTGTCCCCACTTCTTCTCTTATGTTCTTAATTCTTAAGTTATAGATCCTCTTATCATCTTCTAGTTTTTGTATTGTTGCTGTTTTTTTTTGTTATTTTTAAGAAATTTTTCATTTCATGCTCCCATATTACAAATCTGCCCTCCAGTTCAGATAATCTATCCTTAGTTTCTTTCAAGCTGTTATGCCAGTTTTCAATAGAGTTTTAGTTTCCTGGTAATCTCTTTGAACCTGCTTCATGTATTCTATGTTTTCTCTTTTCTCCATCAAACAATTCTCCCCTTTTTTTCTGTTCTTCCATTCCACCATCTGTTTTTTCTTGGGTGGTGCTTAGCATTTCTGTAACTATTCTGCTTATGTCTTGCTTCAGGTCATTAATAACTTCGTTCCTGAACTCCTCTATGAGGCTCTGGAGATAGCGCTTTATATCTATTGGTGTCGTGTCTGCTATTGCATGTTTCTCAGGATTGGGGGCCGAGGACCCTTTCTTGTTGCTCCCTCTTCCCATATCTTTGTTCCTTATATTTAAGCGTGTATAGGAGGACCAGCTTCTTTCCCTGTCAGCCACAGTCTGTTTGAATTGCGCTGGCTAGGTATTCCCGCCCACTGCAGTGTATGAGGGAGACATAGACCTGGGCAGCCCCTGCTGGGCCTGCCCTTTCAGGTCACCCTACCTCAAGGCTTCACCTGTAGGGTGCACCTTCAGGCGCTGGGACCTGATTTGGGCTAGCCTATTGGGTCTCAGCCAGCGGCGTCTCACACGCCAGGCACTCCCCACCAATCCCGCTTGAGAGGGGGATATGTGACTGAAGTCACTACAGCTTCTCGTTCTGGGAAGTCTGCCCTGTCCGAGTATGTCCTCTGCTGAAGCCTCCTTCTCTATGTAAGGGTCCGATTTGCTCACTCACCGCAGGTCGATGCAGGGCACCGGCCAGTCCTGGTCCCAACTCCTTTCAACGCTTCCCACTCTCCGAGCTTTCGCGCCTCTCTCCCTGCTGTGCCCACCGGGATGCAACAGCAGCTGCAGGTAATTCAAATCACAGTTTCCAGTGGCGCGGGTCCAGCTTCCGTGCTGATACCTTATCTGTGCCTGCTGTCTCACCAGGATTGCATTTCCAGATGGTTTCTCTTAATTTATTTCGTTCCTGGGTCAGCAAAGAATATCCCCCTTGCCTGGGACTTCCTGTGCAGCACCATTCCTAGATTTCAAGTGCGGTTTCTCCGAGAGCCTCAGAGGCTGTGCTATCTATCTGCCATGTTCTTCCGGAACTCTAAAGTAGCCCTTTCAAAAAGTGGCTCAGGCAAAGAGTGTTTCCATGGAGAACAGGTCAGCTAAGAAACCTAGCATGGCCAGTTTCAAGCTTCATCAAATCCTTGGAATCAGTCTCAGAAGTACTAGTTAATTACCCTTGTTAAGATCATATTGTTGCACAGGACCTGTATATTACCACCTAATTATGCACAAGATGTTGGGTGTTGCGACAAGTATGCTTGAATAACCTTCGGCTAGTTACCCCAACTGTGTATTTGGGCAGCTTCAGACTTACTAAGGTTATTGTTTCCTGTAGTTTTTTTCTGTAGGTATTAAGGATAGATCTAGTCTACATTTTGAGAAACTGAACAACAGACACTGTGCTTTATTGTTAGGACTAAAAATTGGATCTCAAGATTGGAGCCTGGCATCTTTTGGCTTTGTATACTGTCCAAGCTTAGTTATTGTAGGATGAATTTGAATAGTAAGAATGCTTCCTGACTTTTTTATCCTTTATAATGGATGTCCAGGATGTCCTGTGCTAGGTTTTTTGTTTTCTCTGTAGACTAAGAATCAAGCTGCCTAATCCTGATGGTGTGAAAATATTGGGCATCTACTGTGTATTGGAACTATTTTAGTACTAATGCTATCCTCTTTAGCACTAATACTCTTAATACTTACGATTGGTCTCTTTAGCATAGCTTTTCAGAAATCTGACTTACATATTTGACACTTAGTCTCCTCAAAGATAAATAGATATTTTATGTCTGCCTTCTCATAGAGCAGTGCTGCAACTACATTTCAGCCGTTGGCACCTCTGTTTATCAGTACAAAGGCAGGGAAGGGAAGACTTAAGCAGGAAAAAAAAGTCTTGGAGAATCATTCAGTGGGGGATGGTGAACATATTGGAATCTCTCTAAGTCTTAGGTAATAGCTATGTAATGGCTATAATAGCTATGAATATGTCCCTAGACCACGGGACATTTAGGGGCTTTTCATGGCATAAGAATCATACATTTTGAGACTGAAAATACTATAGTAGGTTCTTGCCATGTGAAGACCCTCTTTGAGGATACACATTTTAACATCTTTGTGTCTTAGGGAGGAGGCAAGGTGACTGAGTGGGCACCATGGGGAGTGTATTAACTAATACACTCATTGTTGGGATTGATTACCCAACACCAACTACTTAAAGGAGTAGAGGCTTATTTTAGAGGTTTTAGTCTATGATCTGCTTGCTCCAAGGGGAGATTGTGACAAGAGAGTGGTGGTGGAGCAGAGCTGCTCAGATCACTGTGGCTCGGGAAGCAGAGCACATGGGAGAGCCACAGACGAAGGGACCGGGGACCAGATACCGTTCACAAGCTCACATCCTCAGGACTTGCTTCCTCCAAATGAGGTTTTACTACCTAATAGTCTGTTCAGCCAGGAGCTCATCAGTTGATGAAGGTAGTGCCCGCAGAAGCCATTCACCTCTCCAGGAGTCTCTTATTCTACTCAGGTTGACAGTCACAATTAACAAGCACAGGGAAGAACTATAGAAAAGAGAGACTGGTGAGGAGGTTGTTACGGTAATTCACGTGTGAGGCGGGCTTACACTTTCCAGAGTGTTTGAGTGCTTGTACTTGGGATAAGATCATGTCTGTTTTCTAAACTAGAAACCCTCTTTATGCCCTAGGAAGCTTTTGTGTTGAGCCTCTGCCCTGGTTCAGAGTTGCAAGGGAGGAGTTGATGGATCTGTGCCCCCCTCTTTTTGTTTGCACTGTCTTCACACCCTGTTGCCGTTTATGTTTTTTGATGAATGATTAATTAGAAAAATAACCATTTGTAAATTGTGAGTGAACCAGACATTTGGCCCTGCCTGTAGGGAAATGGCGCCTCTGAGCCGAGTGTAGTTTGCAGTCAGTGCATCAGAGCTGTAGTATTCCCAGACCAGTGATGAATTTACATGAAGTTCCTTTTCAGCATGTTAATGACTGTTACAGATGAGTAACTAGTGAAAAATAATAGCAAATGGGAAGAGTAAATATTTAATGCTTCTGTATCAGTTTTAGTTTAGTGTAAAATGTACATTTTGATGGAGGAGGGAAATGAAAATCTTGGACTTTAGAGATAAAACTTGGCTTTTGAGAGCTTCAGTCTTTATTTCCTTTTCTTTGTACATAATTAAAAAGATAAAGTGAGTTGTTTCTGAGGTGGATTTCATCAGGGGAGTGTTAAGTTTTAGGTCCTAAGATGCTATTTTTCTGGCAGTTTGAATCTTATGTTTGGTCTATATCATTGATTCAGTGCCAGGCGTGAACCTGGGCTATTCTGTTTTCTTAAAATATAGATGTCATCATGTTAAGTTTCTGCTTAAAAACTTCAGTGACTTCCAAATGGTTTTAGTATGGAAGCTGAGCTCAAGAGTCTCTTAAGGGCCTCTGTGCTGGCTGTAGAACCAGCCCAGTGATGGTGAAGTGAGCTTTTCAGAGCTTTCAGAGATAACCTCCTGCTGGGAGGCGATTTGCCACCACTGCATTAGTCTCTTTCCAGTTGTACTCCCTAAGCACAATGTGGCTCTTTGTTTAAGTCAGAGTGGTTGACTTGTCTCTGTATCCTGTTCCAGGCTTTGTCACTTTTGCATCTCTGCTAAGATCATTCTGAGGGCTTGAAATGACTCACTCTTAATGCTATTCTGCCTCTGGACCCAGTTTGTGTTTAGAGAAAATGACCAGACCTTTTTTTTTTTTTTTTTTTTTTTTTTGGTCTTTTTCATTTTTATCGGTACCGGGGATTGAACTCACGACCGCCTGCTTGCAAGGCAGGTACTTATGCCGCTGAGCTAAATCCCTAGCCTTGACAAGACCTTTTTACTCAGTTGTTCAGATTGTCTTTGAGTGTTGAGTTCAGGCCCAGACAAAACAATACTCAGAGGAAATGACTAGGATAGGCCTTAAAACACGAAAGGTGGGTGTGCAGAAGAGTACAAGGCAATGTCTTGTCTTGTGTTGTCCTATATTAAAGAGGCTATATTCAGGAAAAGGTTTATTAGATTTCATGTATGGAAACACAGAGTAAGGATGAAGACTGCTGGTTGTAGGTTTAGGAAGACAGACTTAAAATCACTGTTAGAGATAAGTTCTGTCATAGTGTTTTGAAAAATGAAATGGATTTTCCCAGCAGATAGTAAGTTTCTGAAGGGATATAAATAGCAGGAGTACAAGTACCAGGGGAAGACCTTTAGGGCAGGTCATTTTCACCTGCAGGATGAAATCTTTATTGTACAGTTTTGGTGAAATCATTCAATAGTGTAAACTAACAAACTTTACTTTGCCTAATTATAGGAGTAAATCCTGATGGACCAAGAAATACAAAAGATGTAGTTTTCTGACTTGATAATGAAATAATGTCAAAAAAAGTATGAGATCTAGAATGAGGAGTTCTTAACACTTGGTTCAAGGATCTCAAGAGCAGTGTTTAAGAATGAGGAATGATTTGTAGATTTTTATAGGAGTCATAAGCAGTTTCAAAAAACATGCTCAGTATTATTCTTTATATATTTCGGAAACTGGCTCCTAAAACACATACAGCTTTTGAGGGACAACCTAGATCTAAAGTTTAACATACTTCTGCTTTACTTAGTGTGCAACCAATAGCTAACTCTTGGTCGTATTAAAGAAAACAAATACTTGTAGAATTGCATATGAAGTTATAGTGGTTCCAGGATCCTACTTGAAGAAGCACTAGTGCAATAGTAACACAAGTAGGTCATATTGAATATTTTGAGAAGAATGAATATCTAGGAGACTTCTAAATAGTGTCCTTCTCCGATCAGTCTCTGATAACTGGATGCCTGTTTTTTTTTTTTTTTTTTTTTTTTTTTCCTCTGTGATGCTGAGGTTTATACCCAGGGCCTCACACATGGTGTGCAAGTGCTTTCTTTTACCACTGAGCCACATGCCTGCCTGTCAGATACCCTTTCTAGTTACCAATCCCCTTAAACCTGGTCCTGAAATAAGATCAATTGAGTAATTGTTTTCCCTTTTTTTTTTTTTTTTTTTTTAAACTGTGTTTCTCCTAACAGAGAAACGTAGTAAAAATACTCTGGCTCTTACTTTCTTTTTTGAAAACACAAAAGAGGATTAAGCCATATAATGGACTATTTATGTGTCAAATTAAATGTTTTACGCTGAGGCTGTTTTTGAGTTATGTGAGCAGTAAAAATATGTATTAAGCTGCCAAGCCTTTTAAAAAATGCATATTATTTAGCTGATAGACTGTAACAGTCTGATGGATCCATAATCGTGTTTTGAGTAAATATGCATTTGAACAATTTATGAAACTTATGTTTACATGTGTATTAAACAGCCTGGGTAGGGAGTCACCAAAAGTTATTACCACTTGACAGCTGCTGTCTGGTGACCAATTTGAAATGAATTGGTGGATTCTCCTTAGTGTTAAGTAAATAGGTTTTTATTTGTTAGGAGAGCAGATCGTGTGTGTGTGTGTAATCATCAGTGTGTGGGGCCTCAGCCCTGGAGGCATAGGGGGTTGGTCAAACGAGGTGCTGGAGTCTTAACTCCTCAGCGAATTACACCTTAGATTCACATGTATTATCTATTCTATTTCATTTTGTACCTGAAATTTTTGTACCTAGAAATATTCATAGACTATAAGCTGTGCATAGCAATAAATTCTACTGTTGGAAATACAAATGTGTTTATTTCTTTGGTATTTACCTTTTAGTTCAACAGTCTTGAAATTTTTATAATGTGTCCCTATTATTAATATAT